GAATAGAATACCGGTGTAACATAACATTATTTTGAGTCTTACTCTTTCCATTTACAGAGTACTGTACAAGCCCATGATAATGGCTCCTATAGGTGATAAACTTCGTTGTGTGAAGAGAAAGAATAACGCGTTGAAATTGAGTGACAAACTTGAAATAATTAAGAAACTAGAATGTGGTGTGAGCAATACTGTTCTAATGGAAACATACGACATTGCAAAACAAACAACTGCTGTACTGAATAACTATTAATTTATGGACATATTTTTATCATAAACTGTTGTGTATATTAACTGTTTTTGTTTGTTTGTTCCAGATGTGTTAACGACTAAACCCTTGTGAAATTAACAACTGGATCATGGAGACTCTGCTGCTACAAGTATGTCTTTATGTCTGTCTAACTGTCTATCTTTATCTATCTGTGCTTCTATATCTTTCTATCAGTCTTTCAATACCTGTATGTCTGTCTGTTTGGTATCTATATCATCTATCAGACTGTCTTTATATATACAAGCATCTGTCTTATCTATATCTATGCTATCAGTAAGAAAGATATTGACATTGAGTGAGGAAGGTGGATACACAAGAGGTACAGTGAATGATGGTGGGTACACAAGTGGTACACTGAGTGAGGAAGGTGGGTACACAAGAGGTACAGTGAATGAGGATGGTGGGTACACAAGAGGTACAGTGAGTGAGGAAGGTGGGTACACAAGATGTACAGTGGAGTGGATGGCAGACTGCAGGATGTTGCTGACTGTAAGTGTTATGTATGTGCAGGTAAATATGTGTCCATGACAAGACTGAAGAAACTCAACACTGAAGATTATCCGTGGACTGTGTGGATGAGTTCTGCTGCCTGGGTGACATGATCAGTGCTGGAGGGGGTGCTGAAGGCTGCTGTGTTGTGAGTCATGGAATGGGTTCTGCTGCCTGGGTGACATGATCAGTGCTGGAGGGGGTGCTGAAGGCTGTGCTGTGTTGTGAGTCATGGAATGGGTTCTGCTGCCTGGGTGACATAATCAGTGCTGGATGGGGTGCTGAAGGTTGCTGTGTTATGAGTCATGGATGAGTTCTGCTGCCTGGGTGACATAATCAGTGCTGGAGGGGTGCGAAGGTTGCTGTGTTGTGAGTCATGGATGAGTTCTGCTGCCTGGGTGACATGATCAGTGCTGGAGGGGTGCTGAAGGTTGCTGGTGTTGGGCGAGTCGCGGCTTTGAGTTCTGCTGCCTGGGTGACATGATCGTGCTGGAGGGGTGCTGGAAGGTTGCTGTGTTATGAGTCATGGATGAGTTCTGCTGCCCGGGTGACATATAACCAAAGCAGAGGTGCTGGGGAAGGTTGCTGTGTTGTGAGTCATGGATGAGTCGGCTGCCTGGGTGACATGATCAGTGCTGGAGGGGTGCTGAAGGGTTGCTGTGTTATGAGTCATGGATGAGTTCTACAGCCCGGGTGATTACGATCAGTGCTGGAGGGGGTACTGAAGGCTGCTGTGTTGTGAGTCATGGATGAGTTCTGCTGCCTGGGTGACATGATCAGTGTTGGAGAGGGTGCTGAAGGCTGCTGTGTTATGAGTCATGGATGAGTTCTGCTGCTTGGGTGACATGATCAGTGCTGGAGGGGGTACTGAAGGTTGCTGTGTTGTGAGTCATGGATGAGTTCTGCTGCCTGGGTGACATGATCAGTGTTGGAGAGGGTGCTGAAGGCTGCTGTGTTGTGAGTCATGGAATGGGTTCTGCTGCTTGGGTGACATGATCAGTGCTGGAGGGGGTACTGAAGGCTGCTGTGTTGTGAGTCATGGATGAGTTCTGCTGCCTGGGTGACATGATCAGTGTTGGAGAGGGTGCTGAAGGCTGCTGTGTTATGAGTCATGGATGAGTTCTGCTGCTTGGGTGACATGATCAGTGCTGGAGGGGGTACTGAAGGTTGCTGTGTTGTGAGTCATGGATGAGTTCTGCTGCCTGGGTGACATGATCAGTGTTGGAGAGGGTGCTGAAGGCTGCTGTGTTGTGAGTCATGGAATGGGTTCTGCTGCCTGGGTGACATGATCAGTGCTGGAGGGTGCTGGGCTGCTGTGTTGTGAGTCATGGGTGAGTACTGCTGCCTGGGCTGACATGATCAGTGTTGGAGGGTGCTGAAGGCTGCTGTGTTATGAGTCATGGGTGAGTTCTGCTGCCTGGGTGACATGATCAGTGCTGGAGGGGTGCTGAGGCTGCTGTGTTGAGTCATGGGTGTCTGCTGCCTGGGTGACATGATCAGTGTTGGAGGGGTGCTGAGCTGCTGTGTTGTGAGTCATGGATGAGTACTGCTGCCTGGGTGACATGATCAGTGTTGGAGAGGGTGATGAAGGCTGCTGTGTTGTGAGTCATGGAATGGGTTCTGCTGCCTGGGTGACATGATCAGTGCTGGATGGGGTGCTGAAGGCTGCTGTGTTGTGAGTCATGGATGAGTTCTGCTGCCTGGGTGACATGATCAGTGTTGGAGAGGGTGATGAAGGCTGCTGTGTTGTGAGTCATGGAATGGGTTCTGCTGCCTGGGTGACATGATCAGTGCTGGATGGGGTGCTGAAGGCTGCTGTGTTGTGAGTCATGGATGAGTTCTGCTGCCTGGGTGACATGATCAGTGTTGGAGAGGGTGATGAAGGCTGCTGTGTTGTGAGTCATGGAATGGGTTCTGCTGCCTGGGTGACATGATCAGTGCTGGATGGGGTGCTGAAGGCTGCTGTGTTGTGAGTCATGGATGAGTTCTGCTGCCTGGGTGACATGATCAGTGTTGGAGAGGGTGATGAAGGCTGCTGTGTTGTGAGTCATGGAATGGGTTCTGCTGCCTGGGTGACATGATCAGTGCTGGATGGGGTGCTGAAGGCTGCTGTGTTGTGAGTCATGGATGAGTTCTGCTGCCTGGGTGACATGATCAGTGTTGGAGAGGGTGATGAAGGCTGCTGTGTTGTGAGTCATGGAATGGGTTCTGCTGCCTGGGTGACATGATCAGTGCTGGATGGGGTGCTGAAGGCTGCTGTGTTGTGAGTCATGGATGAGTTCTGCTGCCTGGGTGACATGATCAGTGCTGGAGGGTGCTGAAGGCTGCTGTGTTGTGAGTCATGGATGAGTACTGCTGCCTGGGTGACATGATCAGTGGAGGGGGTGCTGAGCTGCTGTGTTATGAGTCATGGATGAGTACTGCTGCCTGGGTGACATGATCAGTGCTGGAGGGTGCTGAAGGCTGCTGTGTTGTGAGTCATGGATGAGTACTGCTGCCTGGTGACATGATCAGTGCTGGAGGGGGTGCTGAAGGCTGCTGTTATAGGAGTCATGGATAAAGTGCACTGCCTGGGTGACATGATCAGTGCTGGAGGGGGTGCTGAAGGCTGCTGTGTTATGAGTCATGGATGAGTACTGCTGCCTGGGTGACATGATCAGTGCTGGAGGGGGTGCTGAAGGCTGCTGTGTTATGAGTCATGGATCAGTTCTGCTGCCTGGGTGACATGATCAGTGCTGGGTTGGTGATTGGTGTGTCAAGTGTAATCTTGCCTGACAGTTTAACATGACAGTATTTTAACATTATTAACATTTTCAAGACTAATTTTGAACTAATATCGTTAATATTAATATATCGTACTAATAGTTTAAAGACTAGTAATGAACTAATATCTTTCCTATTTATATACTAATAGCTTCAAGACTAGCAATGTACTCTTATTAATATCTCTACGACACTCTATTAAAATTTTAACAACATTTACACCAGAAAAATGTCTGTTGACGACTTATTGACAAGAATAATGTAAACGTGTCGTAAATTTCTTCACTATTGATGATATTTGACAGAATAATACTCAGGATATTTCACATAATATCTTCGATGTTTCTGAAGGCATTTGATACGGTGAAACCTCAATTTAACGAACTCCATGGGGAGGCTATTCCGTTATATCGAGGTTTTACTCAAGATAAACTTCCCTTCACCGACTTTAATCAAATTTCAGACATTTAATAAGACAAACGTAAACTCAATTTCTAAATAAATTTCGAGACATTTGTAAAATTTTAATACAATGTCTTCGATATTTTTCCAGGACATTTAACTAATATTTTCTTATACTTAACTAGTCTCCCCCCAATCAGGATTACTGCGAGGTGTGTCAACAAGGCGGTGAGATCATTCTGTGCGACACGTGCCCCAAGGCCTACCACCTGGTGTGTCTTGAGCCCGAGCTGGAGGAGGCACCTGAGGGGAAATGGTCTTGTCCCACCTGTGAGGTCGAGGGGGTGAAGGAAGAGGATGAGCATATGGAGTACTGTAAAGTTTGTAAGGTGAGTGATGGTTGGTCGAGGGGTAGTGGTCGAGGGGGAGGTGGTCGAGGGGGTCAAGGAAGGGGACGAGCATATGGAGTACTGTAAAGTTTGTAAGGTGAGTGATGGTTGGTCGAGGGGTAGTGGTGGGGAGGTGGTGGGGGGTGAAGGAAGAGGATGAGCATATGGAGTACTGTAAAGTTTGTAAGGTGAGTGATGGTTGGTCGAGGGGTAGTGGTCGAGGGGGAGGTGGTCGAGGGGGTCAAGGAAGGGGACGAGCATATGGAGTACTGTAAAGTTTGTAAGGTGAGTGATGGTTGGTCGAGGGGTAGTGGTCGAGGGGGAGGTGATCGAGGGGGAGGTGGTCGAGGGTGTACTGGGAGGGTGTACTGGGAGGGTAGGGTTAGGTTAAGTGGTAAATTTTAACCTTTCGACACAAATCACCGGAGGTCGACCAATATGTTTTTCCCTTGTATTATTTGGCGAGTTTTAAACCAATCTGACCTTCATTGTTGGCGTAAATTCAAATGCGATTGGTCGAAAAAAATTATCCTGATATAGATACCTCATTGGTCACGACTGGATGACGTCGGTTAATATTACCCGTCCGTGATCCATAACTCGGGTCACGACAATAACATCTCGGGAAGACTGAAAACTCCGTTAAATCGATTAAATTCAATTGGGTCGCTATTATCCATTTCCGCCGGGTATACGAGGTTCAAAATGATCGGAATAAAGAGATTTAAAAGATTCACTTGTTTATATCTTCGGGGAGCACTACTGTATGGCCTAAAGTTAAATAATACTTTTGTTTGGTTGAAATAGGGTTAGGTTAGGGTATGGTTAGGTTAGTGTTAGGTTAGGTTTATTTGTACGAGTGTCTTTGTTTATTTGTTTACATGTTCGAGAATTATATTTATTTATTAACGTACGTACGACTATGTTTATCGTCATTTTTCCCGCAGGACGGAGGTGAATTGCTGTGCTGTGATTCGTGCGTCAACGCCTACCACACGTACTGCCTGTCTCCGCCCCTATACAAGGTGCCAGAGGGAGAGTGGACCTGCCAGAGGTGTGCCTGTGAGCCTCTGCCTGGCCGCGTACAGAAGATATTGTTCTGGAGGTGTGTGGCAACTGTTGGTCATCTTAGGGATGGACTTTAGTTCGTTATATGGAGGTTTTACATATAATGGGCCTTTGATATAATGGACTTTCATCTCTATATAGTTCATTAGATGGAGGTTTTACATATAATGGGCCCTTGATATAATGGACTTTTATCTCTATATAGTTCATTAGGTGGAGGTTTTACATATAATGGGCCCTTGATATAATGGGCTTTCATCTCTATATAGTTCATTAGATGGAGGTTTTACATATAATGGACCCTTGATATAATGGACTTTCATCTCTATATAGTTCATTAGGTGGAGGTTTTACATATAATGGGCCCTTGATATAATGGACTTTCATCTCTATATAGTTCATTAGATGGAGGTTTTACATATAATGGGCCCTTGATATAATGGACTTTCATCTCTATATAGTTCATTAGATGGAGGTTTTACATATAATTGACCCTCGATATAATGGACTTTCATCTCTAGTTCATTAGATTCTGTTAAGTTAGGTTAGATTAGGTTATGCCAGGCTAGATTAACATACATTAACCACGCACTCTAACACCCCCCCCCCCTTACAGGTTCGTTGATCCCCCCAAACCACCGGACAATTGGAAAGAGGCCGTCGGGGAGAAGGCCGAGAAGTACCAATTTAAACAGCTGCGGGAGTTCCTGGTCAAATGGGTGGATATGTCCTTCTGGCACTGTTCCTGGATCTCGGAGTTGATGCTGGACGTTTATCATCCACAGGTGTGTGTGTGTGTGTGTGTGTGTGTGTGTGAACCCTGAGGTGTGGGTTTTTATGTGTGTATGTGAACATGTGCGTATAAGACTTTTCCCTCATTATAAACTAGCCATTGTTATTAAAATTATGTACTGGTAGAGAAATAACCACAATAATTATAACTCATTTAATTAATTATCCCCAAAACTTTATAATTAATCCAGTAATTAATTATCCAAAAGCTTCAATAATTAAACCCATTATAATTTATTACCGAGGAATAACTACCCTGGAGACGCAGATGTAAACAAAACGTCTCTATTTCCGCCAGATGTTACGGTCGTATTTCAAGAAGTTCGACCCCGATGAGCCGCCCATTCCAGGGATAGACGACGACGATGAGTTAGGCTCACAGAGACGACACAAGAAGGAGATTGACCCCAATTCACTGGAGGAAAGGTGAGGTCAAGAGTGTAGGTGTGAGGTCAAGAGTGTAGGTGTGAGGTCAAGAGTGTAGGTGTGAGGTCAAGAGTGTAGGTGTGAGGTCAAGTGTGTAGGTGTGAGGTCAAGGGTGTAGGTGTGAGGTCAAGTGTGGGTGTGTAGGTGTGAGGTCAAGAGTGTAGGTGTGATGTCAAGTGTTTAGGTGTGAGGTCAAGTGTGTAGGTGTGAGGTCAAGAGTGTAGGTGTGATGTCAAGGGTGTAGGTGTGAGGTCAAGAGTGTAGGTGTGATGTCAAGGGTGTAGGTGTGAGGTCAAGAGTGTAGGTGTGAGGTCAAGTGTGTAGGTGTGAGGTCAAGTGTGTAGGTGTGAGGTCAAGTGTGTAGGTGTGAGGTCAAGTGTGTAGGTGTGAGGTCAAGTGTGTAGGTGTGAGGTCAAGTGTTTATTTGACCTGTGGAATATAGGTCAAGTTTGTTATTTAGATGTGGCCTCTTTATTTACCTAGTGGCCAACCAAACTAGAGGTGGCCCTTGTGAGGGAAGGTGGCCAATGGTTGTTTAGGCTCTCTACATTGTTCTTAACAGTCTTATCAATGGCCCACCTAGCCTAACCCCACCTCAACCCAACTCCAACCCCCACCCCTCAACCTAACCTGTTCAACCCCACCCCTCAACCTAACCCCACCTCAACCTGCTCAACCCCCACCCCCATCAACCCAACCTGTCCCTCAACCCCACCCCATCAATCCAACCTAACCCCACCTCAACCTAACTCAACCCCACTAATCTCAGCACCTCAACCCAACCCCACCTCAACCCCACCTCACATCAACCTAACCCCACTGCTAACCTGGGTCCTCAACCCTGTCTCTTACACCTCAACTCAACCCCACCAACCCCACACCCTCAACCCCACCTCAACCCCAACCCTCAACCCAACCCCACCTCAACCCACCAACCCCACCCCCATCAACCTAACCCCACCTCAACCCACCTCAACCCCACCCTCAACCCAACCCCCACCTCAACCCCACCCCATCAACCTAACCCCACCTCAACCTAATCCCCACTCGTCCCAACCATCTCCACCTCAACCTAACCCCTTCACCAACCCCACCTCAACCCCACCCTCACCCAAACCCACCTCAACCCAACTCAACTCCCACCTCCCACCTCAAACCCAACCCCACTCAACCCAACCCCTCAACCCCACCTCAACCCAACCCCGCCGCACCCCACCTAACGTCTTATTTCTGACCCTCACAGGTACTATAAATACGGCATCAAGTCCACGTGGCTCAAGATCCACCGCGTGCTGAACCACCGCACGCTGCGAGACGGAACGACCCAGTACCTCGTTAAGTGGCGTGACCTCCAGTACGACCAAGCGACCTGGGAGGACGAAGACGAGGATATCGTTGGGCTTAAAACGGCCATCGAGTTCTACCATGATCTGAGGGCTGCTTGTAATGCTGATGTGGGAAGTGAGTCAGTGTAATGAGTCAGTGTAGTGGTGTAGTGAGTCAGTGTAGTGGTGTAGTGAGTCAGTGTAGTGGTGTAGTGAGTCAGTGTAGTGGTGTAGTGAGTCAGTGTAGTGGTGTAGTGAGTCAGTGTAGTGGTGTAGTGAGTCAGTGTAGTGGTGTAGTGAGTCAGTGTAGTGGTGTAGTGAGTCAGTGTAGTGGTGTAGTGAGTCAGTGTAGTGGTGTAGTGAGTCAGTGTAGTGGTGTAGTGAGTCAGTGTGTAGTGGTGTAATGAGTCAGTGTAGTGGTGTAATGAGTCAGTGTAGTGGTGTAGTGAGTCAGTGTACCATTAACTTATATTAGGTTAACAACAGAAAGGTGAGGATAATTTAGTTAAGTTAGGATTTTTATGTTAGGTTAGATTAAGTTCGAATTTAACCAGAATAAAAAAAAAATAATTTACCTCAACAATAACCTAACCAAAACCTAACCTAACCACAACCTAATATCAACCAACTCATTCCCACAGCCAAGAACAAGAAGGGTAAGAGGAAGGGCAAATCCCGCACCAGAGAGTTGGGCGACGAAGACCGTGAACCTTCCTCCCCCCGGCGCTACACTCCCCCCCCAGACAAACCCATCACCAACCTGAACAAGAAACTGGAGAAACAACCGGATTACATCGACATAACCGGCCTGTCACTTCACGAATATCAGCTAGAGGGCGTTAACTGGCTGAGGTGAGGTGGTTAGGGTATCTGTCTGTCTGTCTGTCTGTGTGTGTCTGTCAATAAGTTGGTGAAACAGTCAGATTACATCGACATAACCGGCCTGTCACTTCACGAATATCAGCTAGAGGGCGTTAACTGGCTGAGGTGAGGTGGTTAGGGTGTCTGTCTATCTGTCTGTGTGTGTCTGTCTGTCAATAAGTTGGTGAAACAGGTCTATATTGAGAATGTTGGTGGGGGGGGACTTTCTCTTCCCTTCTCTTCTCTATAGATTCCATTAATACATAGTTTATTTTGTCCTCCCGTTGTCTTCACGTCATCCTCCCGTTACAGGTACTCATGGGGCCAAGGCACTGACACCATCTTAGCCGACGAGATGGGCTTAGGAAAGACCATCCAGACTATCGCCTTCCTCTACTCTCTATACAAAGAGGGCCACTCCAAGGGGCCATTCCTGGTGGCCGTGCCCCTGTCCACGATCATCAACTGGGAGAGGGAGTTCGAAATGTGGGCCCCGGATTTCTATGTCGTTACCTACGTCGGGGATCGCGACTCACGCACGATGATCCGCGAACACGAGCTGTCGTTCGAGGAAGGGGCGGTGCGTAGTGCGTCCAAGGCCACGCGTATCCGTACCACTAATGTCAAGTTCAACGTTCTGCTGACATCCTATGAGATGATATCCATGGATCAGGCTTGTCTGGGGTCCCTGGAGTGGGCGTGTTTGGTCGTCGACGAGGCTCATAGACTCAAGAGTAATCAGTCTAAGGTAAGATCACGGAGCCTAGCCTAGCCTCGGTGTCTGAAATATATTGTTTACATTTTAATGTGTTATTTATTTGGGTCTTGTGAAGATTAGACACCCCAGTTTATTTCACTTGATGATTAACCTAACCTAACCCTACCCTAATCTAACCACCCCAGATAGCATTTGGAGTGTTTAACCATCAGGTGAAATGAACTAGGGGTGACTAATCTAGCTTGCTGCCATCAAACTCATTATTATTGTTGTTATTATTATTGTTGTTATTAATGTTTTTGTTTACTCTCGACAGTTCTTCCGAGTGCTAAACCAGTACAACATCATCTACCGGCTGCTCCTGACTGGTACACCTCTCCAGAACAACTTGGAGGAGCTGTTTCATCTGCTAAACTTCCTGTGCCCGGAGAAGTTCAGCGACCTGTCAACTTTCCAGAACGAATTTGAAGACATCGCCAAGGAAGACCAGATTAAGAAACTCCACGACCTCCTGGGGCCTCACATGTTGCGGAGGTTGAAGACTGATGTGTTGAAGGTGAGGTCAGGGAGGTTACGTTAGAGGTCAGGGAGGTTAGGTTAGAGGTCAGGTATTGTAAACGCCTAATCCGTAATTTTAGATTTAAGAAGAAATGAAATAGTTTACCATATCTGATATTAACATTCTCCTAACCCAACCTATCCTAACACTACCCAAGTACCCTATCCACTCTTTATCCACATTAATCCATCGCTGTTTGTTGTTGTTTATCCTCCGCAGAACATGCCAACGAAATCCGAGTTCATAATCCGGGTAGAACTGTCGCCGCTACAGAAGAAATATTACAAGTATATTCTGACGCGGAACTTTGAAGCCTTGAACTCTAGGGGAGGCGGACAGCAGGTGTGTGGGTGGGCGGGTGTGTGTGGGCGGGCGTGTGTGTGGGTGTGTGGGCGGGCGGGCGCGGGTGTGTGTGGGTGTTGATATATATTGTATTTACATTATAGTTGTAATAATAACACTACTGAAATAACAACAGCAATAACCTAATCACCATAACTAACAACCTAATCACCATACCCTATTACAGGTCTCCCTTCTGAACATCGTAATGGACCTGAAGAAATGCTGTAATCACCCTTACCTCTTCCCCGCTGCTTCCGAAGAGGCGCCTAAACTACCCAATGGCATGTATGTCACCAAAGACCTCGTTAAGGCCAGCGGGAAGTTTATTTTGCTGGAGAGTATGTTGGAGAAGCTGAAGAGAGATGGTCACAGGTGAGTGTTGGAGGTGATCATAGGTGAGTGTTGGAGGGGTGGTGGTGAGAGGTGATCCTAGCTGAGTGTTGGAGGGGTGGTGGTGAGAGGTGATCCTAGCTGAGTGTTGGAGGGGTGGTGGGAAGGGTGAGGTGTGTTGGTGGAAGTGGTGGAGAAGGGTGCATATTGTTGGAGAGTGTGTTGGTGATCATGTGGCTTTATTAATGATCTATACATTAAATGTATTTTATTAATTTATTCATTTAAGTAATTTTTTTATTCACTTTACTCAATTAATTTGTTATTTTTATCGACTTTATTAATTTATTCACATTATTTATTGATTTGTATTAATTTTATCCATATTTTTATCGACTTAATTCATTTATTCACATTATTTATTGATTTTATTGACTTTATTCACATTATTTATTTATTTTTATTAATTTTATTCATTTTTATCGACTTTATCCATATTTTTATCGACTTAATTCATTTATTCACATTATTTATTTATTTTACTGACTTTATTTCTATCTTTAAGCTAATTAACGTGTGTGTGTTCCAGGGTGTTAATATTCTCCCAGATGACCAAAATGCTGGACATTCTAGAAGACTTTTGTGAAGGCCTCGGGTACAAGTACGAGAGGATCGACGGAGGCATTACTGGTCTACTGCGTCAGGAAGCTATCGACAGGTTGGTTTAACTCCCTTAGGGTTGGTTTTTGGTTGGATTTTGGTTAGGTTAGGTTAGGTTAGTGACTCTTAGTGGGAATCAGCCATACCCCTAAAGACTCTTAAGGGGGGGGGGTAGGTCAGCCATACCCCAGACAATTCTCATATATACCCCAGACACT